GACCCTGGCATTCGGACCCCGCTCTCCTGCCTGCATCCCGTGACCTTAGCGCCTGAGTCACCCGTGACCCCCCCCTTCGCCCCTGCTGCCGTTTGGTCTTTGGATGGAAAAGGGTCGGGATAAAGTGCACCCCCTTTTTTTTTTTTTCCTTAAGCCCTAAGGAGGTCTGGCTGGAGGGGAGTGGCCGTCCTTCCTCGCATCTCACTCTGCTCCTTCATTTAGTCAGTGTTCCGTCCCCGACTTTCGCAGACCAGGTGCTGGGGACAGACGCCGCGCTGGACCAGCCCCAGAGAGGCGTCTCTGGGGACATTGCAAATGCAAGGTTGGGGCAAAAGCAGGTTTACAGTTGTGAGTACGCAAAACACAGAGTTGATTCTTGTGTTATTTTAAAGCGTAGGAACAACTGCACACCTGCTTTTGCCCCACCCTGTATGTCGTTTCAAACTGTAATAGTTGTGGGGGAGGTACAGTGCATTAAACAAATGAGTGGTTCCTTCCCAGTGACATCTGACCCCAGGGCGATTTAATCCTCTCAAGAAGCCGACTGGGGACAGTGTCCTTGAGTACTGCTTCATCAGGAACCCAGTCTCCAACCACCACCACCAGGTACTGACTCCAGCGAGCAGAGCCTTGATCTCTCTCCCATGCCTTGGCCTTTTCTTTGGCTGTTGTATGATATCAAGTGAGCAGAACAGTTTGTCTCTTACCAAGCCCCACACTCTTAGCAGGAGTTTCTCCCAGGCTTTCACACGTTCTTAGCTCCTTGGCTTGGCTCCTTCTTGGCGCACTGTCGGGGTGCTCTGTAAGTCGGCGGCATACCTACGGACCGGAATCAGGGAGGGGCTGTTACAACGTACGTGGCAGATTTGGAGAACAGAAAGGCGTGCCTAAAATTATGGGCAAGAGAGTGTTGGTTTCACCATTGTAGCGATGGTAAAACGATCGCTTGTTTTATGCCTTTGGCCGGATGGTTTACGGTTCTACTTTTAGTACTTGGTGGAAATCCCTATGGGTGTGACCTTTTAGTCAGGCTTTCGGTTCGGGAGCCTGACTCATTTTCTTCTCTCCTGTCTTTTCCTCATTAGAATGTAAATTCCAGGAAAGCGGAGACCAGACCTGCCTTGTTCACTGTTATCTCTCAGCACTTAGAACAGTGCCTGCGTGTCTTTCAAATCAAATATTTTTATTTTAAACATTGATTTTTTTTTTTTAAGTCAATGCAATAGAAAACAAATACGGCATTTTAATATTGTGCCCTAGATCAAAGTCTAAACATCTAGAGGAATCGTGGTTGCAAAATGTGTTTTAAAAAAATAATAATAGACTTTGCCCTGGCCGGATGCCTCAGTTGGTTAGAGCATCGCCCCAATATGCCAAGGTTGCCGGGTCGGTCCTCTGTCAAGGCACATCTAAGAAGCAACCCATGAATGTGTGAATAAGTGGAATAGCAAATCAATGTTTCTCCCCCCCCCC